ACTAAACTGAATATATATTAAAAATTATGTTAAAACGGATGTATACCGATTATATTCCTATTTATAACTATAATTCTGCAGGCATGAAAATTGTTGGTGTACGTTGCGACAAAAGTTGGTAAAAACGTGAAGAAATTTAAAGTTGGTGACAAGGTTGGCGTAGGGGTATTTGCGGGCTCCTGCAAGACATGTGAACCCTACCAACAAAACTTGGAGAACTACCGTCCTAAAATTATTTTTACTTAGAACTCCATTGACCAATATGGAACTAGAACCTATGGTTATTCTGATATGATAGTTGTTGACCAGCGTTATGTGCTTCGATTCCCTGATAACTTACCACTTGATACCGGTGCAACCCTGTTGTGTGCTGGGATCACGGTCTACAGCCCCATGAAATACTATGGAATGACTGAGGCAGGCAAGCATTTAGGTGTTGCTGGACTTGGTGGTCTCGGCCATGTGGCTGTGAAGATTGCGAAAGCCTTTGGGTTGAAAGTCACTGTCATTAACAGCTCACCGAAGGAGGAGAGTGAAGCAATCGATAAACTTGGTGCTGACTCATTCCTTGTTTCCACTGACCTTGAAAAAATGAAGGTACGTCAGAGTAACTCAAATTACTGTCCATGGATTTGGCTTAACTAGACTGTTCATATCCAATTTAAGCCGATTGATCCACCAAAACTGATCTAATTTGGTTAAAATTCAATCTAAATAGACATCAATTTAGGTTAGTTTAAAATATAAAATTTTAAATTTGATATAAATAGTTTAATTTGTGATTTTACTTTCAAATTAAACAAAACATTCCAATTATAAAATAATTTAATTAAATAATATAATTACTGAAAAAATGATTTATACACACTCGGTTCAACATATTTTTTTACACATTTTTGTTCAACCATTAAAAATATAATATAAATATAATCAATTCAATCGGTTCCTACATCCTGTGCATATGATTGTATTTTTAAATTTGTCTGTTTTTAATTTCAAACAAAAAAATAATGATTTTTTAATGAATATATTATGAAATATATTGAATCGAGTGTGTACAATCATTGTCTATAATATTTTTTTTT